CACTGAGACATATCCCGATCTCTGCAGCTGCAGACCAGGATAATGTCCCAGTGCCTGTGATTGGCGCTGCTGTGCTGTCAGCTTCCTGGCGGGCTGGGCATGTGGAGCTGCGAACACGCCCGAGCCCATCACTACTACTGTCTATGTCCATGTTAAAGGGAAGTTCCACCTTTTAGACAAAAATAATAAATGTACACATCTTCATAAAAGAGGGGGAAAAAAGGGAATTTATGATTTTTTTGCTTTGGAGACAACAAAGCATTGATCTGTGGATGGTGGGTGTAATGCTCTGGCTCCCGCAGACTGTTCCTCCCGTCCATGTCTGTACCTTAGCACAGACATTCAATACCATCGATGGGAGGATGAATGAATGGACTACAAGTAGGGTGACAACAGTGGCGTCACAAGGGGGGTGCGGGGGGTGCGGCCCGCACCCGGGTGACACCATTGGAGGGGTAAAACAGTAGAAAGGTATCATGGCACACTCACAAACCAGCATGTAAAACAACTTGTCTCACCACTAAGGTTAATAACAGAGGTTTGGATACACGTCTTCTGCAGAAAATGTGAAAGCCGCACAGCCGCGCCAAGGCACCTCTTATAGTGCGTTTAGTCTTTTGCTCACTCGGTTACCGCTGCGGGTGTCACCCAGCCTCGGGACGCCCCTGGGTGACAACACTTGTATTCCAATGAGAACTATAAGATACTTTGCCGCGGTGTCTGATGTGACTCGTAGCTTCTCCATTCACAGATCCTGTCAAAAAAACTGTGAATGGATGACGTGTGGGCAGAACCAAATTCAAAATACTGGCAGGGAGAGGGACCCCATGATTTGGGTGTGTGCTTTTGGTCTTCCTCTGAAGAGGGAGGGCCACAATTCCCTGAGCTCAAGGTTCCCGACACGGGCAAGGTAACCCTGGTCCACCTGGACTGGGCTGAGACCCCACTGCTTAGGGACCTTCGGAAGGCAGCCCACCAAGTAGTTGGTGAGGGCTTCCCTGAAGAGAGACCCCCAAGTGGAGAGAGGTAATGAAAACCTGCAGAAGCCACAGAACCTCTCCCCTAACATCGGGACGGGCCCTAAAGGCACCCACACCCTCAGTTTTCTGTGGGGTCATAAAAAGTGTAAATGAATAAGTGCCAGTGCTAGACATGGCAGGCCTTCCGGCCTAGATACAATGGATACCCAGATACCCGGCCTAGATACAATGGATACATGACTTTGTTTATAAACCAAGGATAGCATTAGGCTCACCACACATGTTACATAGTCTGATTGTACAATCTCCTTTAGATTGCATGGTCAGTTTGTGACATGTATGGTGACCCTTTAGGGTTCCTCTGTCCCTCTCCATTATGGGTGTATGTCACTCATAACAAAGGAATGATGAATGATCGGAACTCCGCAGTCATTTTCCTCTTAGGCTCCGGCTTGTCCAGAGTACAAAGCGAACGCACAATGATAATACGATTACCTATCTAGACACAGAGAAGGCCGGGGGCTCACCGCAGATGACTGTCCATACATATCATCGCTGTACATTTTCCAGAAGTCACTTCCATTGCTAAATGTTTCCACGGAGCCGTCAATCACGGGGGGGGAGGGGGTCTGGAAAACCTCACTGTGTAGGAATCAGGAAAATAGAATAAGAGACTTTTGCAGATTAGCACAACTGGAGACGTAAAGATTTGTAGAAGCGTCTTTGTTCGCCGGCTTCAAACCCCCTGTTTTCCTTTGTTTCATCTTAAATGACTTTAAACAGCAGCAATTTAATCAGTTAACCCCTGTGATACCAGCGGTGTAAATCTGTCCTTGGACTGAAGAGGACGGGTCGTTTGCTCGGTGGCGCTCCTGCCAACCTCAGGACAAGTAGCCCGCAAGGCTTTGCACGGACTCAGAAGGGCAGCTATAACTTGGGTCAGGGGTGGCCAACCTCGGCACTACAGCTGTTTTGGAACTACAAGTCCCATGAGGCATTGCAAGACTCTGACAGGCACCTGCACCGCTCCCGGAGGCAGAGGCATCATTGCTCTGAACTGGCTTGCTGATGGTAATAATGGTGGGTCAAGCCTGCGTAACCTGTATCGGCATGGCCGCTTGTAGTCTCCACCAGGGGCTGTGGGGAAACGAAAAATCCCATCACACCTCTGTCTCTAGGAGTCATGCCTATGGCTGTTTGAGTCCTGTAATGCCTCATGGGATTTGTAGTTTCACCCCAGTTGGAGATGATGACTCAAGGATCCTTAGACCGCTGCAGCGGAGGGGGAGTAAGACTGGAAGACTGGTCTAAGAGCAAGCCGGCTCCGAGGTTCGGGTGAGTATATATTTTTTTATTTTTGCACCTAGAGGAAAATGAGAACTTAACCCTTGCAGTGTGGGGGGTAGCAAATCGATTGTCATTCAGTTAGGGTCTACTATATACGCAGAGGCGTCCCGAGGCAGGGTGACACCCCACAGTGACGTAAAAGTGCACACGCGTGATGACATTCGCTGTACCGCTGTTACCTGCCGGCGGCCATCTTGGTGATGGACGCTGGCAGACAAAGGAGTGGACGTTCATCCCAGCGGGTCCCCTCCTCTCTCCTGCAACTGTCAGGATCTCGGTCCGGGACAGAGTGCCCGACTTTTCAGAGGGGAGTGACACCAAAATGACTGTCAGTCATTTTGGTGTCACCCCTCCAATGGTGTCATCTGGCTGCGGGCTGCACCCCCCTTGTGACGCCACTGTGTATATATATATAGAGAGAGAGGGAGAGAGATTGAATTTTTTGTGCATTCATCACTGAGCACTTCCTCGGAATCTCTCATTGACGGGACTTTGGAATGTTCGGTTTGGGAAATTAATCCAGAACAACGGTTCCCTTTGTGCGTCGGCTCCAGGACTCCTGAGCGGGTTAGATAGTTCCCTTTAGGTGGTTGTTTGGACGCCCTTTGTTTGTGTGCAATCCCTTCACAAAAGGCGCAGTGACGGGACGCTGGAAAAGTAGCGCGCCGTGCGCGAGGGTTCATTGTACAAAAAGAAAAAAGAGATTGCGGAGGACGAGGGAACAAAATAACTTTCCTATAGGGACGCATTTTGGGAACTGCGCTGGCTGCTCGGGGATATCGTATACAAATATTGACTCACCCGATCCGCACGTTCCTTGCAAAGAGAGCCGCTCACTGATTGGACGTCGGGCGAACAGATTTATATTTATTACTTTGTTATCAGTTATGTTTACTGGCAAAAGATTTATGTTGTCTGAAGTGAATGCCCGAGCAAGAGGGGCCCCTGAGAGCCGACAACTGCTGCACTGCCACCTGCATGACCTATCCTGATATGTGCTGTCCACCAGCTCCTGAGTGCGCATAACAGTATAGAATAGCCTTTAAAAGGGCAACTTTCGATATTATTAGAAGTCTCCATGAATAAATCCCTGACATGTTATAATTAGGGATGCACCGATACTGATACTAGTATGTCGAGTATTTGGGCGAGCACTCATACTAGCCCAAATGCTCCAATGCCTAGCCCGGTACTTCCGGAATCAGGAAGCTGGGCAGCGCGCCATTACACGCTGCCCGGTTTCCTGATTGGTCTGAAAGCTGGCCAATCAGTAAGCTGGGTGCCGTGTAATAATGCGGCACCCGGCTTTCTGATTGGCCGGGAGCTGGCTTCATGCTCCTCGTCACCTCATGACGAGAGAGCATGAAGCCGGCTTCCCCGCCAATCAGGAAGCTGGGCACTGTGTCATTATGTGGCGCCCGGCTTCCTGATTGGCCAGCTTCCGAACCAATCAGGAAGCCGGGCAGCGTGTCATTACAATGTCATCAGTCTGCTGCAGGCAGGAGGAAGCATTTCCCCTCCCCCAGTGATCAGACTGTACCTTTGTAGCAAGTCACAAGGTGAGAGGCTGCAGCAGGGGCTGATCTGTGTCAGATATTTGTGAGCGCGGCCATGAACTGCAGAGACCTACATGATTGTGTCATCTCTGAGTTGGCATCTCAGTCCAGGAAGTAGATGGTAACCCTGGGTGATACCTCAACAAAGATGGCGCCGTCCTTGAAGAGAGAAAAGCAGATGAGGGGCATCGTCAGGAAGAGTACTGTGATCTCTATGAGATGGAATAAATACTTGAAAATGTTACACATTACATAGTACACACAAACTTAAAGTGCATCAACCATAACAAAGAACTTCTTTTATCTGGTCACTTTTGGTCTTTTAAACAATTGGAAGCATTTTTTTTTATATCTACCCCATAAGTGCTAACAAAATGCCTGTTGATCCTGCCAGAAATCTTGTGAGATTGTAACTTCCTTTGCTCCCTATCTCTGCTGACTGTTATCAGTTAGCCTTGCTCCCATTTCTCTCTATCGACTACAGAACACCCCCCTCTTTGAGAAAGGAAGAGGTATTGTGTAGCCCTAACACACATCTTGTCCTAGGGTGACAACGCTGCTCCGACATAGATACAGTACGATGAGTCAGGAGGTTGTCACTCCAGGCCAAGAAATGTGTTAGTGGCAGGATCATTAAAGGGGAAAAGCCTTTAAAAAAAACCGAATGCAGCCACCACATTGGACTGGAAATCTGCAACATATTACATTTTTCTTCCTGAGTTTAGATACTTTAACATGAAATATATACATGATGCTAATTCCACATTGAAAGAAAGACAAAGACCTTGGGTGTTAACCCTCTGTGCCACCATTAAAGAGATTTCCCACCACTTCCTGTAAAGACAGGAAGTGATGGGAAATCTCTTCAAATGGTCAGAGACAAAAGCACATTTTTGTTAAATGTAATAAATCTCCAGAACCTTACTTCATAAACAGTACACGGTGCTATTCAGCCGCTGGCCACCAGAGGGCGCTCCTCACGACCCTTCCCTCACAGCGCCGCTCCTTCCAACCACAAAGTCTCCCGCGACCTGGAAATACTCGCTGTCCGAACTCGGAGCACAATGCCGATTGGACAGAGGTCAAAGCGGCAGCCAATGAGAGGCGCGGATTGCAGGGATGTGGAATGCTGATGTGTGATACCGGCTTCCGGCCTTCCAGTCATCCATCCACAGGGGAGAGAAGGTTTCCATCATGCCGTACTACCGAGCCTGGGAGGAGTTCACCCGGGCCGCCGAGAAGCTCTACCAGGCCGATCCCATGAAGGTGAGGGATCAGGGTCCGGTGTCTCCATGAGAGCAGCTGTGTGTTACATCCTGGTGTGGCTGGGATTTGTAGTTGTCTGCACAGGCAGACTGTGCTTCCAATACAGGCTTCAGTATGCCCTATGTATCCAGAGGGACTACAACTCCCAGCAGCCCTTCGTATAAGATAAACTGACACTTGTAGTTCTGTATACCACAGGCTGTGCTTCCAATATAGGCCCCAGCATCATCTGTGTTTCCAGAGGAACTATAATTCTCAGCATCTGTGTATATTCTAACCTAGTGAGATTGGGACTTGTAGTTCTGTATACAGGCAGTCTGTGCTTTCAATACAGGCCCTTGGATGCCCTGTGTATCTAGAGGGACTACAACACCCAGCAGCCTGCTAACATTTTATCCTGGGACCTCTACTGTATACTACAGGCCGTGCTCCCAATAGAGGCCCCTGATCTGTGTATTCAGAGGAACTACAACTCCCAGTAGCCCTTTTGTATGATATAACCTGACACTTGTAGTACCATATACAACAGGCTGTGCTTTCAATACCGGCCCTCAGATGCCCAGTGTATCCAGAGGGACTACAACTCCCAGCAGCCTGTGAATATTATAACCCGGGATTTGTAGTTCTGTATACTATATAGGCTGTTCTTCCAATAGAGGCCCCAGTATGACCTGTGTATCCAGGGGAACTATAACTTCCAGCATCCCTTTTTTAGAATCTGGTGAGGCTGTATACTGGCAGGCTGGTCTTCTATAGCAATCCTCAGCATGTCCTGTGTATCCAGAGGAACTACAGTTCCCAGCAGCTGTGTGTGTTTATATCCTGGTTAGGCTGAGGCATCTGTATACTACAGGCTGCGCTTTCGAAACAGGCCTTGATATGCCTTGTGTATCCAGAGGGACTACAGATCCCAGCATCCCTGTGTATATATTGTAACTTGGTCATCTTTAAAGTACGATGTGTTGCAGCGATAACGCGCTTTTCTCATAAAAGGCGGTGTCGCTGAAAGAGCTCCTATTTAATGCTGGAGCTTTTAGGTCGACTGGGCTCGTACAACGTAAGTATTCTATTTCCTCTGCTAGGGATTGGCAAGTGCCACCTACAGCCTCCCATAGAAGTCTATGACTCGTGTATGGTCCAATGTTACAGGAAGCCGATCCAGGGCAGTGATGTGTAGCTGACGCTGGAGTGAGTGCATATAGACAGGAAGTGGCTAAGGGAGGAGATCATCAGCACTGAGATGGGTGAAAACAGGCTATTATGGGGGGAAACGTACGATACACAGGGCTTGAGCAAACGACATGTCATCCTGTAGGGTTTACATTAGAGATCTCCCGATACCAGTTTTTCAAGACTAAGTACAAGTACTTCCCCTCAGGTACTTGCCGATACCAATTACCGATACTTTTCCTTAAAGGGACATGTGAAATTTTTTCTAAAACAATACAGACAAATAATTTTAGGGCAGTTTCTCACCAGGGCTGCGTACAGAATCTGGACGCAACCTGGTGACATCTGGACTCCAGATCCCACCAGGCTGCATACTGAATCTGTACGCAGCCCTGCTGACATATGTAGTCCAGATCTCACCAGGGCTGCTTATTGCGTCTCTCCAGCGCTGCTTATTGCGTCTCTCCACGGCTCTGACAGGTGCTGTGCTGCACATCCAGCATCCCCAACCCCTCCTAGAGCGCTTCTTCTTTAGCCCGATCTACGGGCGCATAGTGAGCCGAACAGAGCGGGTGCCGGTCTCGTGCCCGCTCCGAGGCTGTATTCAAGGTGTGGGGCTGCCTCGAGCTATGCCTGCACCTTGAATCAGGAGGAGGAGATGTGGGACCTGGCAGGCAGTGTTAAAGACAGCTACTGCCAGGTCCCCGGAAGGCCGCTTCAGGACCCCACGAGCGCGGGACCCGACGCGGCCGATCCGATTGAAAAATTTAAAGGGCCGGTATCGGCCGTCAGCATCGGGGCATTTTCACCAGTACAAGTACTGGTGAAAATGCCATGTATCGGACCCGATACCGATATTAGTATCGGGACATCCCTAGTTTCCATGTATTTTATACTGTCAGACTCTGCTTCCCATATAGGCCACATCGTGCCCTGCCATCAGCACAACAGAACTCTGTACGTTTCTTCAATTTGTTAAGGGTGGCTTCATTGCTCTTCCATAGAGTGGAGCCACCCCAAGACAGGGAGTGTGCTACTGGCAGGATCAACAGGTGAAAATAAAGGAAAAAAGCCTAAAAAAATGAAAACTACTGCAGCCACCACATGTAAGGACTTGTAAGTTGCAGTGTATGACATGTTAGATGCACTTCAAGGGCTGATTCACACCGGATGCTTTGGGGCTGCGCTGGCCGCTTTTTCCAGCACGTCCCCCAACGCTAGACAAGTCAATTTGCCTTATTTCAAATGGCCGTTTACATCATCACAAAACACTGTTATTTTTTCAGCTTGTGACATTTCAATAAAGTTCTAACAAAAAAAAAAAGGTGATCAATGCAATGTGCCAGGGTCAGCGCAGCAGCTTCGCGTTGTAGTGTGACTGCTGGTGCGGATTGTCCCTTAGGCCTGGTTCACACCTGAACGTTTTGTAGCGCGTTCAGCGTTTGACGAACGCTCTACAAAACGCTCAAACATCTAAATCCCATTGTATTCAATGGGTCTGGTTCACACCTTGCCGTATTTCCGCCCGCCCGAACGCGATACAAAACGGCCTACGCCCAAAGAAGTACATGTACTTCTTTGGGGCGTTTTGGTCTCGCGTTTCCATTGGGATACAGCCAAGTAGCCCACGGAAATGCGCGTTTGTTGCGGTAAAAACGCGTGACGCGAACCGTGCGACAAACGCACATATGCAATATGTCTAGGTGTGAACCCAGCCGTAACCAAGCCTTAGTTCAGCTCTGTGTGTGCCCCATTCACATCACAAGTCGGCCGTACGAATACGGAACCGCGCTAAACATAAAACCCGATGCATTTTAATGTGTATTGCTCGGACAATTGCAGGGACTGTGCGTCCAAGCACAAAATCTCGGGGCAGATTTCGCACGTTCACGGCTATAGTAAGCTGAAAACGAGCTGAATCTGTGCAGTTGTAGAGATTTTAGCGTGTTCCGCGCGGCACGAAATGGAGGCTTAGACCGGAAGTGATGTAATACACATTGCTTCCATTTTCAGTGATCGGAGGGGAGCTCAGCCGCTGGAAGTATGCTGATCTCCCTCAGATTGAAGTACTCAGACCAACTGTGCCAGTCCCAGACCTGTGCGGGATAGCTGGCAGCGGTGAGGGGGATACACTCCACAGCGCAAGCGTTCAGGAGCCTCTGTAGTCACCCAAACGCTTAAATTGTGACAACTATTGCCGCTGAACCCGCCGTGATTTGGATATAACCTCTTCAGCTTGACACCATTTATATACTTATGGAGGCCCTAAAGCGGTAATGATTATATGCAGAATGGGGTGGGGGGCGTTGGTTGATGTTTGTGCAATTCGAGTTCAGATTTAAGTTCCAAGCCTTTTCATGACTTTTCTTTATTACATGGAGATGTATTAAACTTAAGTCCCAGCAAACCTTGTTACACAATAGGGGTGTGTGTGCCTCTGAAGCTAGGGCTTGTAGTTCCATATACTGACATGTTTTTGCATACCATGTCCGCCCGCATCCACAACAGCCCAGGTTCTGCTGTGACATCAGGAACCAGCTGTATCTTTTTGATTCTGTAGCCAAGCCACAAGTTCCCTCCAACACTCAGGTGGCAATCAGAGGTGCCCATTTTTGTAAAGCACCCAAGTGTATTACCATGCATTGTAGAATGCTGCAGCATGAGCGCATTTTCTTAGTGCACTGAGGTGCTATTTAAACTTATTTGGCAATATTGTGTACACTATATTGCCAAAAGTATTGGGACGCCGGCCTTTACACGCACATGAACTTTAATGGCATCCCAGTCTTAGTCTGTAGTGTTCAATATTGAGTTGGCCCGCCCTTTGCAGCTATAAGAGCTTCAACTCTTCTGGGAAGGCGTCCACAAGGTTTAGGAGTGTGTCTATGGGAATGTTTGACCATTCTTCCAGAAGAGCATTTGTGAGGTCAGGTCATGTTGAAGGCCGGGCTCGCAGTCTTCGCTCTAATTCATCCCAAAGACGTTCTATCGGGTTGAGGTCAGGACTTTGTGCCGGCCAGTCAAGTTCCTCCACCCCAAACTCACTCATCCATGTCTTTATGGACCTTGCTTTGTGCACTGGTGGGCAGTCATGTTGGAACAGGAAGGGGCCATCCCCAAACTGTTCCCACAAAGTTGGGAGCATGAAATTGTCCAAAATGTCTTGGTATGCTGATGCCTTAAGAGTTCCCTTCACTGGAACCAAGCCCAACCCCTGAGAAACACCCCCACACCATAATCCCCCCTCCACCAAACTTTAGACTTCGCACAATGCAGTCAGGCAAGTACTGTTCTCCTGGCAACCGCCAAACCCAGACACGTCCATCGGATTGCCACACAGGGAAGCTTGATTAGTCACTCCAGAGAACACGTCTCCACTTCTCTAGAGTCCAGTGGCGGCGTGCTTTACACCACCGCATTCCACGCTTTGCATTGCACTTGGTGATGTGCGGCTTGGATGCAGCTGCTCGGCCATGGAAACCCATTCCATGAATCTCTCTCCGCACTGTTATACCAATCTGAAGGCCACATGAAGTTTGGAGGTCTGTAGCTATTGATTCTGCAGACAGTTGGCGACTTCTGCGCACTGTGCGCTTCAGCATGCGCTGACCCCGCTCTGTCATTTTATGTGGCCTACCACTTCCGGGCTGAGTTGCTGTTGTTCCCAGTTGCTTCCGCTTTGTTATAATCCCAGTAACAGGTGACCGCGGAATATTTAGTAGCCAGGAAATTTCACAGATGGACTTATTGCACAGGTGGCAACCTATCACGGTACCATGCTTGTAGTCACTGAGCTTCTGAGAGCGACCCATTCCCTCACAAATGTTTGT